CGTTGATAACAATACGAACGATGGTACAAAGGATGTAACTCTTCCACCGGTTTACAATTCACTTTGTTCCTTCTCGATATAAAATATAAAAAAATTAATTTCGAGAATCGATACGAAGACGTTCTCGATTAGAGAAGTCGTGATCGCACGCGTGATCGAGCTCTTTTGATACTCATAGAGACAGAGAGAAAGAGAGAAGAGAGAGAGAGAGATAGAGAGAAACAGAGGCACGTACACTCAGTACCGATCAAAAGTTTGGGTATATGGCACAACGTCCGAGGACAGATAGATTCGAATCGTGAAACGGTACCTATAGCATCCCGATAAAAAAAATGTTGTCGACAAACTGTGTGCGAAAAAAACTGAAAGAAAGAGTTGAAAAAGAGAGCCGTTCGAAAATGAAATAAAACGAGCGAAAAACGTCGATTCGAACTGACGTCGTGTTTAACGATGGAAAGATTTATTATCGATGGGGAAAAATGGGGAGCACGAAATTTTCTAATTATCTCGTCACCCAAACTTTTGACCAGTCCTATATATATTATGTATATGTATGTACGAATATAATCAGGCGTGTGTTGTCCATCGACAAGCAGCGGTTTTCTTACAGGGTGCTGGACGCCAGATTGGTGTCCTCGTCTTTGATCTGGCCATCGAGGGCAAGCCCCCATTTATCTTTGTTGTCGGCGAGAAGCGGTTTCAGAGAGAACACTTTGCTCAGCGTGAAACCTGGCCCCACCGGGCACCCCTCCCTGATAAACATGTAGGCAGAAGAGTGAAGGTAAACGTGCCACCGGAGGCCTAATATATATCCGGATCAATCGGAATTTCCGGTATATATAAGGGGGGGTGGGGAGGGCAGAGGGGGAGGATTATCGTTAGGTTTGTTGGTTAAACCAAAATTAACGCGAAATTAGTTTCTTCTCTAGGCGAGGTAGTTCGAGTCTACGCGTTTCTCGTTTCTCTTCAGATGTCAAAGACCACACTTGATGACTTGTCCCATTAAATGGCGCGGCACAACGATGTTATTATCGACTTTCTCGTCGAGATCGTCGACGATGGATTTATCGGTGGTAAAAAAGCTTGGTGATAAAACTCGTCTCTCGGGTTGGATTAGTCGTTATTTGCAGTTCGGGCGTGTTTCGATGGGAATATTATTATTATTATCTAATCTGAAATAATCGATCAAAGATTCCGTCAGAACCTGGCGAGTCACGTTTCTTCCTGTTCGATTCGATTGGAATCGTGACGCGCAATAATTACATTTGAAATTTAAATTTGGAATAATTCGATTCGAGGTGTATCACTGGGACGGATTGCTCGCGAATCATTTCAATTCTTGCGCGGAATGACTTTGAAATCGAGCTTCGAAAAATAACCCGATCAATCCCGATCAAACGTACGATACCGATATTATATCGTATTTTTAAAAAAAAGAAGAAGAAGAAAAAGAAGTAGATCTAACACAGATGTAAATAATCGACGTGAATAAACGAAGAACTATATAATATACGATGTTACCCGCCGTAAATGGGGAATACTGGGAGGGGGGAGGGATAAAATCGGTGCTACGTGCGGGACATCGAGGCGTACTTCAATATCGCAAAAAACGACTCTCGTGACTCTCTCCAGTGACGTGTAGCATCGTTGGAACGATATAGAGCTGCCACTCCGCGAGCACCGATATTATATGATCCCATAATACGAAAGCTCGGTCACGAGAGGCACGCATCGACTTCAACCTCGTCGAGGGGACAGGACAACGATAATAAGCTATGTGACACGCGCTCTGATATCCTGACGATATATATATATATATATATATATATATGTATCCC